GGGCAGATCATATGTGTTAATTGGAAACGTCCATCTTTCAATTTAAGAATTTTTCTTGAGTCCACTTAAGGCGGACCATATTGGCAAAGTATAATATTTCATCATCTTCTCTTTCTTAATTGGCGTAGATTACGCGAAATTATGGTGGCAATTAGATATTCCAAGCACGGTAGAAGAGGTGTTGAGTCGCTATCAGCTGATATGTAAACAAAGCCACAGCTGAGAGGTGTTACTGTAGAAACGTCAAGGGGAGGTTCTATTGGAATCCAAAATGGCCGACTTTTAACCGGAAACTGGTTGCATTGTATTATTTTCTAAAAATTAATGGAAAAGTTGTCMCAAAAATATTGGTTATATATAAAACTGTAATATATTTTCAAAAGAAAATATTTTTATTTTAATATATATTTTTAAAGATGAGGGCAATATGAGCAAATACATGAAAAATTAAATATTTTATTTATGCCTCGTTTTAATTGTGGTAAGTTCACCACAGAAAAATGTTATGAACAAATAAGCAACCATGCCGAATGGTGGGGTCCAGAAAATGCCCATTCACTGCCATAATCATAACAGGTTTTTGCAAGACAATTTGTTTTAATTTATTTCATGGAACAATCCTTTACTATCGTTTATTTAGTTATTTGGATCTGGAAGAAGTGTTTGGAATTTCCATTGGGAAAATAAATAACAGATCGATTTATTCCAATAAAAGTACGAAAAAATTAAATATGTCTTCGTTAATATTCCTGCGTAATGGGTCCGGTGTTGTTCCAATTTTATGATTTAAGAGATGAAAAAGCGATACGCGATGCTGTGAAGTACTCAAATGTAGTTATCAATTTAGTTGGTAGTGAATTCGAGACAAAATTTTAAATTCAATTACGTGCTCGTGGAAGGTGCACGTCCCATTGCTAGGTAAGCTAAAATTAAACTTTATTTCAGAAGATTCACCATGTACTTTTTATTTTATTTTTTTATAGAATCAACAAAGAAGCTGGTGTTCAAAGTTTAATTATTTGTCTGCCTTAAATGCTAGTCCTAAAACAATGAGCTTTATGCTTGAGGGTGGGTAACTTTTTGAGAGCAAATACTACGGTGAATGTGCTGTTCGGATGTTGCAAAAACTATTGTCAATTGCGCTAAGTATCCCGATAAAGCTGTTGGGTAGGTTTGAGCAAAATTGAATTTACATACCATTTTAGTATGCTAAACACTCAACACCCAACTTGCAGACCAAAGCGTTACCAGCTTAGCGAATTAATTGGAACCAGTCAATTAATCGTGTTGTGCGCAAAGATGAAAAATTGTGGGGATACCGTCTTTAAGACATGCGTTGCGATCCTACCTTCCTATTGAAAGTCAAGTTCACTGAGCTTATCTGTCCTGGACAACCTATTGGTGATCTACATATTGGAGAGGAACGTATCGATCGCGAATGTATTACCGATGTCAGTTGACCTCCATGGAAGAGAAAGTATCATGGGAATTGCGACCATATCGTGCTRCGCAATGTTATGATGCCAAATTGGGAGAGTGGGGGAACCACTTCCATCAAACCCGATGAAACATCGGGAAGAACTACGTATGTTTGCATAAAGCTACTATAATGGTAACAACGCTAATAACAACGGCCAAGAAAATAATAAACAACACTCATCAACCAAAAGTTGGTGGCGTTGGTGGCCAAGCAGCGATTTGAAAAGAAACATTTGCAAATACGCGAATTACAATTCGTCTTTACATCTAGTGAATTATTGTCGATTATGAACCATGTGGAAATTGATAATTAACTTTAAAAAACAAAAAAGTGTAATTTGATTAATAATGAACCGCTATTAAAAAATAAGGAATTTGAGTTGTATTTTGATTTTGGCCAAGCAAGTTATTATCGATTAGGATAATTTCAAATGGAGTATATTTCGAACAACCATTTTTTTTCAAATATTATGCCAGTATTGCTATTGAGCATGGCTAAATAGTGGTGGGCAAGCTAATTTAAACTACTTTTCACTACTATATAGATATTGCAAACTCAAAAAATAATTCCTCTAAGAATCCTTTTTTTATTATTTAAAAACTTAGCTTGAAACTAAAAAAATAATATGGTAAATCTAACGGACTAATTATTATGATATGTAATACTAAATTTTTCGACAATAGTTATCTTTTTTGGTCCACTCATTATCAAAAATAATTTCCAGTTTGTTCATGAATAAGTTAACTAAAACGCTTAAAAATATATAGCATATTAATTTATATCAAGAAGATATAATTAAATCTTTCGATAACAGCATTAAATTTCATTCTATAAGCAAAATTTAAAATAGTATTTATAAATGTATAAACATAGTACTGTAAATTTATAATTTAATAATAAGCATTTTTGCTTTACGCAACCCGTTTTAACCTCTCGCCAACTTTATTCACCAGAGGTGG